CCCCCCCCTCTCTCTGACTCTCTCTGACTCTCTCTTTCTCTCCAGCATCCTCTCCCTCACTTGTTCCTTTCACTCTCTGTCTCTCATTCTTTCTCTCTCTCTAGCTCTCTCCCTCCAACACACATACGCACACACACACTCACACGCCGGCGGGGCTTTGGCTTTTGCGATTCGTAGTCTGCTATAAACTGGATGGGGCGAGTTTATCGCGGTGGAAAAGCCATACGGGTGAAACCCTTTTATCTGTCAGGAAGGAGCGAGCGAGAGCTGCCGCGGTGCGAGGGAGGGAGGGAGGGAGGGACGAGGGAGGGTCTTCCCTCGGACAGCCGTCTGTCATGTTTGGGTGTTCTCCGCAGAGTTGTTCCGCGAGCGAACGCATTGAGCAAAAAGGAGCATGAGTAAGGGAGATTTCCGCCGCAGCCAGCACCTCCTCGACTACATCCAGCCAAAAACAGACGCGCGTCACAAATCGCATTTTAGGGGATGTTAATTTCCATTCTAACGAACGTATTTCGTGCGTTGCAACCCTTCTCTCCTATCCCGTCGGTTGAGTGGCAGGTCGTGGCGGGGGAGGGGCGCGCACCGCGCAGTGCCGGAAGTACGGCGAGGGCCGGGGGCGCTGTGGCGGGCCCCGGAGCGCCGGCAGCAGAATAACAATTCAAAACTGACCGCGCGCGTCAGCGTCGATGCGAACGTGAATCAAACTCTGGGGGGATAACAGGATCACTGCCGGGCGGCGACGCAGTGGTGGTGGCGGCGGCGGCGGCTACACTCTCAGGCCCACACTACTGCCCGCCCCGCCACCCACGGAGGCCATTCTCTTTTATCTTAAACGTTTTGTTTGGGCCTCCAAGTTTCTCGCGTTCCAAACCCCTTACTCCCCGCCCCGCTTTAGCCGCAGTTTCCTTCCCCTCGCAGAGCCGCCCGCCGCGTCAGGTTTCGTGCTGCCCCGCTGCCAGACTGGCCCACGACGGCGCCTACGGTATAGGCGCAAGAGTGCAGTGTATCGGCTTCCCAACCCCTTTAGCTCTACAGTATTTACTACTTCTGTCCAGATAAATAAAATGCACAAAATCCCTTTTGCTTCAGCCGAGCCGCGTCTTACCCCTTTCCCCTGCACGTATCACTGCCTATATCTGTATGGTTGTTTTGGAAGTCCCGTCGCGACCCCCCTTCCTTCCCCACAG